TGTATTACTTTTCTTGTTTTTTTGGAAGCCAAGGTTTTTCTGAGTATAAACTTGTATTAGGAAGTTTTTATACTGTAGTAGACAGGTGACCCACATTGGACTGGGATCTAGCTCATTTGTAGAGTTTTTGCCTAGCATGTACAAGACCTGAGTTTGATTCCCCAACACTGACAAACCAACAACAACAAAAAAACCCACACCACAATTATTACTTCATGGTCACAAGTTGGTTTTAAGTTAATGTTAACAGGTATTGGTAAAATATGAATGGTCTTCAGGTCATTTGAAAACTGTATGTTTAAGAAGCTAATTTTCGAACAGTTTGGGTAAGAGAGAATCATTGTCTTGGATTTGAAGTTACTGGTGCATTGCTTCACTATACTGTTACATGGGAAATGACTGAAATATATTTAGTGTACTCATGGGATACAGTAATGCAATCTTGTTTTCAGTGACCATATCCTAAATTTAGGAACAGCAGTTGAAAGGAATAAGTCTCTTCAGTTTGGTTGAGTGAGCTAGACTTTGTCCTAATCTAAATTTCAGAGGCTTGACTGTACTCATTTCTAAAGTGAGCATAGCAGTCAGGATTTGAGGGTCAGCTATAGCATGAACACACATAAAGAACCTATATTGTCCCTCTGCATACATGGTGACTACAATTAAGGATGAAATTTGGTCAGAGAAAAAGATACATGAGGAGCTGGGATGTACCTCAGGTGGTAGAGTGCTTGCATAGCATGCAAGAAGCTCTAGATTTGATCCCTAGCACCACATAGAATCAGATGTTTTGGTACACTCTATAATCCTAGCACTCCAGATATAGAGGCAGGAGGATCAAGATCATCCTTGGCTACAGTACCAGTTCAAGGCCAGCCCGGTCTACATGAGATTCTTTCTCAAAGAATAGAAAAATAAAAGGTGGGAGAACCTGGTGTGGTAGTGCACGCCTTTAGTCCCAGCACTCAGGAGAGGCAGACAGGTGGATCTCTGAGGTTGATACCAGCCTGGTTTACATAAGAGCACTGGCTGCCCTTGTAGAGGACCCAGGTTTGGGTCCCAGCACCTACATGGCAGCTAACAACCATCCATAAATGCAGTTCAGGGGGATTCCAACACCCTCTTCTGACCTCCACCAGCATTGTATGACACAGGTGTGCTTACATGCAGGCAATATACTCATAGAAAAAATAAAACTAATATTTATTTAAAGAGAGGCTGGGCGTGGTGGCGCACACCTTTAATCCCAGCTATTAGAAGGTAGATGCAGGCAGATCTCTGTGAGATGTAGGCCAGGCTGGTCTACATAGTGACTTCCAGGCTGGCTGGGACTAGGGACATCCTGTCAAAAATGACACAAAGAGATATGTGAAGTTTCTGTAATAGAAGGGAAAGGAAATGCCTAACTTGATTGTCTGTCTTTTACGTGGAGAATATACTTATCTAGATAATGTATTTTTTCCTGTTTCTGTACCGTAGCTTATTCTTTATTTTACCAAATATTTGAAATGCAGTTGCTAGCTTCTTTGTTGTACTTTTTCTTGGGCTGTATGTGCAGCATTTATTAGTTAAATTTATTAGTATACTTATTTCGTGAAGATTTCATGGGTAAAAAACAACTAAAAGCAGGCCTGTATTCCAATGTAAGATTCAGTGCAGTAGGGACTGGAGAGATGGCTCAGGGGTTGAAAGCACTGGATGCTCTTGCAGAGGACCAGAGTTCAGTTCCCAGCACCCACATGGCGGCTAACAACCTTCTGTAACTCTAGTTCCAGTGGATCTGACTCCTTCTTCAAGTAGAATTTTTAGGTTCCAATGCAGTATTACATATGTATATGATGTATGTATATATAATATAATCTTAGAGAATGTTACAACATATGCAACAGAAATTCTTTAATCAAAATAATCTTTTGGGCTGTTTTTTAAACTTAAAACCTAGGGATGCATCCTTGATGGCCATGAGAAGACGTATTGAGGGTCTAACCCCAGAAGAAATCCGAAACCTTTCAAGAGAAGAAATGCATATGCCTACAACTATGGAGGATTTTGAAATGGCTTTAAAAAAGGTTTCTAAGTCAGTGTCAGCTGCAGACATTGAAAGATATGAGAAATGGATAGTTGAGTTTGGATCATGCTAATTTCTCACATGGAAACTGAGAAATCTGCCTTATGTCTTTGAAAAATAATTAAATGTAGTAGTTCACTGCACTGAGTACTATATTTTTTTAAACTTTCATAACGGTAAGATTTTTAAATTCCTTATGATTCTGAATAAAGTCAGTATTTTTAAGCTGTACATATTTTACTTTAGCATTGCTTGATTTCTTCTATGTACAGTGTCACTCTCCCACTGCTTGTTGCTGTTATTCTTTCTATAGGGACAACTGAAAATTAGTAATCATTTTTATACAAGTAGCTAATTAAACCATAAGCCAGGCCCAGTGTACCTTCCTTCTCATCTGGTAGCTTCTCTCCCCTTTCTGTCAGGATAAGAATAGGACTCTTAACTTTCTGTCTTTGTAAGAAGCTGTGTGGTGCTGGTAGATATTTTTAAGCCTACTGTTTATTATACTCTAGCCAAAGTCCTTAGTTTGTTCAGTCAGGATACAAACTAAGCATAAAACGAAAACAGTTAGTGGTATAAATAAAAGCTAGTAAGTGAAATAAAAGGACCCGACTTTGATCCTCAGAACCCAGGTTTAGAAAAAGCTGGGCTTGGTCGTATGCACTTGTAATCCCAGCACTTGGAAGGTAGAGACTGAGGATCCCTGGAGCTCTCTGGTCAGCCAGCTGAGTCTACTTGGTGAGGCCCAGGCCAGTGATAGACCTTATCTCAAAAAACAAGCTAGGTGTAGGGGCGCTGGAGAGATGTCTCAAAGGTTAAGATCACTGGCTGCTCTTGCAGAGGACCTGGGTTCAACTCCCAGAACCCACATGGTGGCTAAGAACCATCCTTAACTCCAGTTCCAGGGGTTCCAACGCAGTCTTCTGACCTCAGCAGGCACTGCATGACACAGGTGCACCTATCTTCATGCAGGCTGTACACTCATACACATAGAAAAAAAATAATGAAATGTTTAAAAAAAAAAAAAAAAAAGGTAGGTGTCACCTTGAGGAACTACACTCAATGTTGTTGACCTCTGACATCCATGCACACATGTGTACCCACATGAACACATATACACATGCATACAGTTAATGGTATAAAATTTGGGAGTAAGATTTACATTTATGATTATATAGAAGGAAGTAACTTACTGGGCTGGAGAGATGGCTCAGTTGTTAAAAGTGCTTACTGTTCTTGCAGAAGACCCAGGTTCCCAGCCATCTGTGTTGGGCAGCTCACAACCACCTACAACTCCAGCTCCAGGGAATCCAGTGCCCTCTTCTGGTCTCTGGGGGCACTGATACACATGTGGCATACTTTGACACAGACACACACACACATGTAAAAAAAAAAAAGAACTTATCCCAGTCTCAGAAAACAGCCTTATGTAAAAATTCAGTATTGTGCAACAAGTCTTACTGGGAAGAAAAGGAACCAGGATAGGAAATCTCACTCAGTTGCTGTTCTCACTAAAATAAGCTTATGGCTGGTGAATGAAATAAGACCTTGTCATCACTTAGGAGTTAAATTGGTGCTTTTTCTTACAATTCTGGGATAAGCAGGGGCATAAAGAAGCTTATCACTGGGTACCTTAGGAAGAAGTTATAAATCCTATGCCATTATTTATTCTTTACAATATGGAAATAGAACCCTATGAAATGTACTAATTAGAACTAGACAGGGTTGAGGAATGTAACTCAGTTGGTAGACTATTTGCCTAGCATGCTCAAAGCCCTAGATTTAATTAACACTAGTACTATAATACAACCAACCATTGTAGTACTTGCCTGTAATCCTAGCACAGAGAAGGTAGAAGCTGGAGTATCAAAAGTTCAAGGTCACCTACAGCCACAGAATGAGTTTAAGACTAGCCCAGACCACATCCCAAAATTAAACTTTTCTGTCACCTTGCCATCTTTTCTTCACACAAACCTATCTTTTTAGCCTACATAGAAAGTCATTTGAAAAAAAAAAGTCAGTAGGGTTGGGCCTCTTGCCTAATGGTAGAGTGCCTGCCTAGTATATATGAGGCCCTGGACTCAATTCCCTAGTACTGATAGGAAAGTAAAAAGAGAAAAACAGAAGCCAGTACTTACTTGAAGAATGTTTTAATATAACCAAACACTTTCTTGAGACAAGGTTTCACTATGTGGCATAGAGTGGCATAAAACCTGAGATCCTCCTACCTTGCTTCTTAAGTACCAGGATTAGAGGTATACCTTACCACATCTGGCTTTTTAAAACTTTAATGAAACAGAATAGAAAATAACCTGTGGAGTAAAAGAAAGTTATGTGTACTAAGTAGCATTGTTTAAAAATTTTAGGTGAGTCATTCCAGGCATGGTGGCACATGCCTGTCTTTAATCCTGGCACTTGGGAGGCAAAGGCATGCAGATCCTCTATGAGTTCAAGGCCAGCCTGGTCTACATAGTGAGTTCCAGGCCAGCTGGGGCTACAGGGAGGCCCTGTTTCAAAAAGACCAAAAAAAAAAAAAAAAAAAAAAAAAGGTGAGTCTGAGTGATAGCTAAAAAAAGATAAAACATTTATGAGTAGTACTATACCAAAAACCAGAAAACTAAGGCCACAATCTTAAATGATAATGATGGATTGTGTAGGTGAGCGAGCCATGAAATGAAAGGCTCTATGCCCACAGCTACACAGGTAATTCTCACTTGAGCAATTTGAACCAAAACAGGTTAGGACTGAAGACATGCATGGTTCAGCAGTTAAGAGCACTTGCTCTTCCAGAGGACCCAAGTTTAGTTCCCAGCACCCACATCAGGTAGCTCAAAACTGCCTGTAACTCCAGCTCCAGGGGACCTGACACACACTCCTGGGTACCTCCTACAGTCATGTGCACATATCAACACAGACACATAAATGCACATAATTAAAACAAATCTTTAAAAAGTTTATTTTGGAGTGAGAACATGTTACTACTATTTAATACTGATGCTTTCAAGGTAAGTAGTCTTGGTACAGGACAAATCTTGATACACTTAAGTGATTTTTTTTATTCTGAATCATGTACTTAATAAAGGCATACTATACTGAGTAAGAAAATAAGTTCTTGAGCTTTTAAATTAGAATTTCATAAAGTGCTTTTTATAAAATCTTACATATTACAGTAATCATATAATTTCCTTAGCAAAGGCACCTTGAAAAGTTATTGGCACTTGGCATTCTGTCTCACCTTTTTGTTTCATTTTGGTAACTTAAATTCTCTTCACACCTTCTCTTACACTTAAATTTTCTTTAATAGTTCATTGGATAAGGTGAACTTTAACTTGGCACAGTAGAGGTCAATTTTCAGGTAGTCTTAGGAGTTTGGGAATTTCTGTGCATAAACTGATTCTTAATGATTTAAATAAACTTGTATTCAAATGGCAAGTTTCAGAGTCCATGATTGGAGATGGCATTTTAAATGTACATTTTATCTTCAAGTTTTTCTGCTGTTTGCTCAGAGCCTTCTTGATAAAAGCTGATAGCTGCCACAGGTGTAACATTCATCTTCTCCACCTTAAGAATTCCTCTGAAATATAACAGGAGTTATTATTACCAAAATTACACATTTCTTTCTCTAGTAGTTTGGTGTACAATAGAGCTACTTCAAGGTTACAGTTTTATACGGACAGCTTAAATGCTTTTGCTGCACTCTTAACGGTTTATAAGATTTGTACAAACTCTTGAGACCAAAGTTCACTTAAACCAAATGTACTGAGGGAACAGAAGGAAGCAGAGGTCGTTGCCTGGTACTTGTAGAAGGAAAGCATAGGTCTTCAAAGCAAGAGTGTTAGTCCCTAGATTTGTATAGGTTGGATGGATGAAGAGAAAAGCCCAAGCAGCTCTATCTAGTTGGTGTTCATCAGAGACACAACTTGGATCTTTTGACAATTTTAATAAAGATTATTTTGTATTAGGGCACCTTCTTGATCATAGCTACACCATGTTAAGTTTAAGCTGACCCTAGTCTCTGAAATTATCAGGTAGTTGGACCAGGATATGTCAACACATGTCAACTGGACCCCAGTTGTCTTGGGAACAGGTCAAAGTGTCCTGGATAGCACCTGCCAACTGCAGATTTGTGGCTTCTGTAGGCTATGCTTGGCTTGCTTCTGCAAAATAGTAATTATTCCTTAAGAGAATAGAAATTGTTAAGGGAACTCTCCACCTGTAAGCTTGAGAACTTAAACTTTTCACCCCTGGTTATGGTTTCTCTGTATAAAAGCTTACCCTAGAGATGGCTCAGGGCTACACACTTGGGTTTTAACACCCTTGTGTAGCAGTCCTGGCCAATAACGACTTTCATTCAGCAAAACTTTTAGTGGTCTTCTCTGGTGAAGCACCCCACAACAATTTGCTTTGTGTTTTGTGTAGCCAGGGCTACACAGTGAGACCCTATCTCAAAAGAAAAAGAAAAAAAAATCAGAGGCCAGTTGTTTAGAATCAAATTAAGCAGACTGTAAACTTGGAGGTCAGTATGTCACTCCATATGGCACGGAACAGTTTTCAAGCTATGTCTTGGACTAAGTGACTCCATTTTACTATATAATGGAGCAGTTTGTCCATTTTCAGTACAGATGCTGACGTAGAATGACTCTCCATTTTGTTCTTGCAACTAAACCTGAGGCAAAGAGATGACTTAAACAAGAAGCATATGGGCTTAAAACTGCATTAGAAGCCAGGTTTTTTTACTCCCATCACTTGGGAGGCAGAAGCAAGTGGATCTCTGTGAGTTCAAGGCCAGCCTGGTCTACATAGTGAGTTCCAGGCCAGCCAGGGCTACAGGGCGACCCTGTCTCAAAAAGGCCAAAAGAGAAAAAAAAAAGAGAAACCAAGCCAGTGAGGTTATCAGGTACACCAGACCAATGTATGAATGATGCTGCCTCCTCACTTGGATTATACAGTCCATTGTGGTGGCACACACCTTTATCCCAGCACTCAAAAGGGCGGAGGTGGAGGGATGGGGGGATGGGGGGGTCATTCACAAATTCAAGGTCAGCCTGGTCTGCATAGCAAGACCCACTTCAAAAAACCTAAAACTAAGCAAAGGCTGGGTACCCAATACCAGATATGGCATACCACAAACTGACCCATCATCAAGTCATCCAGTGTATGCAAGATCAACAGGTTCCATCTTGACTCTGTTCCAAATTCTGTCCCTGCCTAACAAGACCTACTAGAATTGCCACTCCTCAGAACCATTATGCCTAGAGCCAGCTCTTTATCGGCAGCCCAGCCAGTGCCAGTACAACTGCCTTGATTATGTTAGTATCTAACCCAGGGCAGTGACTCTGCATCTGTACACACACTGTGCCTCCTCCTCCAGGATTCCTTTGAATCCTGTGGCTGCTTTAACCCATTCAGCCATTCAGGAGCATAACTGTGACCTGTGATGTAAGAGCTGAGCACTAAGTAAGATGGAATAAAAGAACCTGTTTGCCAGTGGTCCTAAGTATCAAATGAAATCGAGGACACTCAGTGACTGCCACGTGTGGCAGTGCACACCTGTGATCCCAGAATTTAGGATGAGGTCAGGAGTCCAAAGCCATCCTCAGCTACATGGCCAAGTGGTAGAATGCATACATAACATGCAGGGGGCCCAAGGTCCAGGCAAAACCCAGTAATCGTACTGAACCATTCCTACTGACAGGAATACAGATTAATACATACGGGGAATCTATAATAATAATTACTAATAGAACAGTGGCCTCTGGAAAACAAAATTGGAATAAGAGCTTTAAACTATACTCAAAAGTGATAACAAGGGCTAGGTGTGGTGGAGTACACCTTTAATCCCAGCACTCGGGAGGCAGAGGCAGGTGGATCTCTATTAGATCAAGGCCAGCCTGGTCCACATATCAAGTACCAGGCCAACTGGGGCTACAGGGAGATGGGTATGAAATTCGAGAATTTCATACAATGTATTTTAATCATATTCACTGTCTCCCCACTCTACCCTCACCTTACTACCCCTCCCCTTCATGTACTCTATTATTATTCGCCTTTTTAAGGGACTATCCAGTCCAATCTGTTTCCTAAGTGCTCTTGGGTGTGTGTCTTTCTACCCATTAATGTAATACAGTGCTTTTGTTTTACACAAATACGGTCTTTATGGTTTTGCCACACACCCCACCCCCATGAAGAGACTGTGGGTGCCACTTTTTAGTCAAGCCCTCACTGAGGACTTTTGCTTTTTTCTACTCCAAACAGTGCTACAATGGCTATCTGCTATAGTCTTTTGATGTCAACTCCACTTTAAACTGATGCTCTGGAGCTGAAATCGTCAGGTCTTGGTCGCTGACTTCTTTCTCATCACAAGCTGCAGTTCCCACTGTACCTGTCTGCCTGCTGTTCAACTAGACCTCCAGAGAGCAGCATCTCTGTGTTCACATGTGAATCTCTGGGAGTACTTTGATTACAACAAGTAGTCAGTAAATATATTTTAATTTTATTAAACTTGGAAAATGGGCTTGAAAAATAACTTTTTTATTCTCCTACTTACCCTCATAATTTTATACCTTATACTACAGAACAGTAACTTTTTATAATTCACTAATTTTTTTTTTTTTTGTCTTTTTAAGACATGGTTTCCTTGTAGCCCCAGCTGACCTGGAACTTGCTATATAGACCAGGCTGGCCTCTTATCTCACAGAGATCTGCCAGCCTCTACTTCCTCAGTGCTGGGATTAAAGGCATGTGCAATGTCTCCAGAGGCCAGAAAGGGGCATCAGATCCCCTGGAACTGGAGTTAGGACTTAGCATATGTGTGGCTGCTGGAAACTGAACCTGGATTCTCTGCAAGAACACCCAGAGCCCTTAACCACTGAGCCATCTCTCCAGCCACATAACTCACTTTTTTTTTTTTTTTTTTTGAGACAGGGTCTCCCTGTAGCCACAGCTGTCCTGAAACACAGAGATCGCCTGCCTCTGCCTTCTGAGTGCTGGGATTAAAGGCGTGCGCCACCACGCCTGGCAACTCACTTTTTATTAAATAAATTACTGATGTCTCAAAACCAAGAAATACTTACTTGTACTCAGAAACTGGGAAAAGCACCTTTAAGATGGTTATGATTCCTGCTGCTCCTAGAATTCCGACCACCATGATGTTCAGGAACATAAAGAACACTGGAAACACACTGCTCCAAAACTTACAGAGCACTTTCCTGAACTTTTCCATCCACTGACACATTACCTGGAACAGAGTTTTGATTGGCATGTCAGTCCAATAAACAAAAGATTTTAATTTCTGGGTTTTTTTGTTTTGTTTTGTTTTTGAGACACTCTCCCTGTAGCCCCCGTTGGCCTGGAATTTGCTATGTAGACTAGTCTGGCCTCTACCTCACAGATATCCATAGGCATCTGCTGCCCAGCTGAATTTTTCTTCTTTTTTTTTTTTGGTCTTTTTGAGCCCAGGCTGGCCTTGAACTCACAGAGATCCACCTGCCTCTGCCTCCCAAGTGCTGGGATTAAAGGCATGTGCCACCATACCCAGCTTGCCCATCTGAATTTTTTAATTTCAATCTACATTGTAATTATAGTTACACCTGTCTCAAAACTATACAAAAAATACAAAGGAACGAATCTGTTTTTAGATACAGCTCAGAAATAGAATACTTTCAGAGAATGTCCCTAGTTCCCTGGGGGTTGGAGTGTGGTGGGGATGGACAGGATACAACATGACAATGGCTGCACTGTATTTAAAATGTACCCTAGTAAAGTTATGTACAATCTTTTTATTTTTTTTTTAATGCATATGAGTGTATTGCCTACATGTATTTAAGAGCATCCATGTCATGCAATGCTCACAGATGTCAGAAGAAGGCAATGGATCCCATGAAACTGGAGTTACAGATGGTTGTTAACCACCACGTGGGTGCTGGGATTACAGCCTGGATCTTCTGCAAGAGCAGTCAGTGCTCTTAACTGCTAAGCCATCTCTCTAGCCCCAGTTATTTACCAGTGTTCCAAAACAGGCACAGAAATTATCCTGTTGTCTAACTACAAATCAAGTGAATACTAATGCTAATTGAGATTAGTTATGACTGGTCACTATAAACTAAATGGAACACAGTCAACTCTGTTTCAAGTAGTTAGAGGACAAGTAGCTTTTAGAACGGGAAAATTCACTGATTTATACTGAGAGCAAGAGAGGAACCAAAGGTATACACTGATGGCAAGGGCTATGAAGACAGTCGCTTCTGGGGCTGACCTGCTGAGAGGTGGGGGATGGGAGTACTGGGATTAGACAGAGAACCACGGTGCAAACTGCCAAACTAACCTAGACTTTTCCAGCAACTCAAAGAGACAATTCTGACCTTTGGTGTGAATTATTCCTTGTACACTAACCATAGACTTTACCCATTTAGGTGGATATTATTTTGAGGAGGGACCTAGCTAATATGCAGAGATAGCAGTCTGAACTATATAAATGTCACATATATATGGTGTCAATGTAGTTTTATATGGAATACCCATCTTATTTAGTCCTTGCTACACTTTAATGAAATACTTTATAGTACTTTAAAGATTAAGTATAGATAAAATAGGTTAAGAATTTAGGGGTTGGAGGTTGGAGAGATGGCTCAGTAGTTAAGAGCACTGGCCACTCAGGATTTGAGTTTGGGGTCCACAGTACCCACATAGTGGCCAACAATTGTCTATAATGCCAGTTCCAGGGGATCTGATGCCCTTTTCTGGTTTCCATGGGCATTGTGCAACATGGGTGCAGTTAAATACATGTAGGTAAAACATAAAATACAGAAAATAACAAGTAAAAGAATTGAGGGGCTGGAGAATGGCTCAGCAGTTAGGAACATTTCTTGCTCTTCCAAAGGACCTAGGTTCGGTACCCAGCATCCACATGGTGGCTCCCAACTGCCTGCACACATGTGGTACACATACTCAGGCACACACACACACACATAATGAACTAAATCTTTTTAAAAAAGGATTTCCTCAGTTCCGAAAAAAAAAAGATAATTTATCCAAGGTCATACAACTAGTAAATGACAGTCCAGTTTGTTCTTCTTGTTGTTGCTGTTTTCCTTTTTTTGAGGCAGGGTCTCCCTGTAACCCCAGCTGGCCTGGAATTCTCTATGTAGGCCAGGCTGCCCTCGAACTCACAGAGATCCGCCTGCCTCTGCCTCCCAAGTGCTGGGATTAAAGCCCTGCAACAACACACCTGGCTTGACAGTCTAGTTTTAAACCTACACACTATGATTCAAAAATGTATACTTCAAATTGCACTTAATGATTGTGTGAGATCTTGAGCGCACTATGCACCTCTATGCACACAAGGTGAGAACTGCATAATAAAGAAAAATGGATCGCCAGGCGGGGTGGCGCACGCCTTTAATCCCAGCACTTGGGAGGCCGAGGCAGGTGGGTCATCTCTGTGAGTTTAAGGCCAGCCTAGTCTACATAGCGAGTTCCAGGCCAGCTGGGGCTAACAGAGAGACCCGGTCTCAAAAAGACCAAAAAGAGGAGAAATGGATCCAGAAGAACGAACTCTGGAACTAAAGATTCACAACCAAATAAAATCCAGGGCCTTGATATCATAATCTGACCATATCATTAAATGAAGTTTACAGAAAAAAATCAAACACCTCAAAATATCACATTAAGACTCTGAGGGCCAGCAAGATGGCACAGCAGGTAAAGGAACTTGCTGCCAAGCCTGATGACTTGAGTTCCATCCTCAGAACCCACATGGCTGGAGAGAAACAATTCCTGAACTTTGTCCTCTGACCTCAGCATGTGTGCTGTGGCACACATGCCCTCCCCTCCATACATACACATACACACAGAAATCTTTTTTAAATGCTTATGATAAGGCAGGTATGGTGGCTCACACCTGTAATACCAGCACTTGGGAGGCTGAGAGGAGGATCACCATGAGTTCCAGATCAGCCTGAGATATAGATTGAGACCTTGTCTCAAAAGAACAGGCCACAATACATCGTTATTAACAATGCTTCCTGGTTCTAGTCTTTATGGTTTCTACCTCATTTTAAAAGGCATTACTATTTTAGCCAGGCAGGGTGGTGCACGCCTTTAGTCCCAGCACTTGGGAGGCAGAGGTAGGTGGATCTCTGTGAGTTCAAGGCCAGCCTGGTCTACATAGTAAATTCCAGGCCAGCTGGGGCTACAAGGAGACCCTGTCTCAAAAAGACCAAAAAAAAAAAAAAGATATAACTATTTTCTTTGACAGAACTGTAAATACTTATTGTAACACCATATAAAAGTAACATCAAATACTCCATTTACCTTATATGAAGATGGAGGCTCTGCTCTGAGAGGAGTTTCAGGTAATTTGCCAGGTAAAGCATTTTCATCTGCAGTGGTTTCCACATTCCTGATGAGATACTGACTGGTAGTCTGCAGTGAACTTACACTTTCTACTGAGGAGGAAGTCAAAGTTACCAAAATGCAAGCAGCATGCTGGTATTTCTTCTATAAATCCTAGTACAAATTCTATAAATCCCAATAACATTTAGGATTACTACCCTGATATATATATTTTACCAGGAGAGAAAATAAAAACCTTTATTCAGTGCGTTAATACAGATACAGAAGGGAGATACATACTTAGATCATAATAATGGGCTACAGAAGATTTTGCAACACAGAAAAACCTAAATTTTAAAAGTTCTGCCAGGCATAGCATCTCACTCCCGTAATCCTAGCATTTGTGAAGTAGGAGGAGGAGTACAGCACAAGTTCAAAGCCACCCTGGTCTGTCTAGCAAGTTATAGACCAGAGTGGGCTAAGAATTGAGACCTGTCTCAAAAAAACTAAAGTGCATAAATAAAATTTAAAAGTTCTGTACTTCACCTTTCAGTGCACAATGATTACTTCTCCCTCTAACTTAACCTTTACAATGTTCTTACAGCAGATTTTCTGATGTGTTCCTGGAGTAAAAGTGGATAATCTGGAAAATCCCACAAGGCAACTAGCATTGATAATATTCTACCCAGGGTTTCACACATACTAGATTAGTGCTCTACTGAGTTACACCCCACTCCCAAACTATTTTAAGGCTGTTTCCAAATATATCAAGTATAAGTAAAGATATCTAGCAGCATTTGCTAATAATGAAAAAAAATACTAAAGAGTATATGGGGGAGGGGGACTGGAGAGATGGCTCAGTGGTTAGGAACACTGGCTGCTCTTGCAGAAGACCTGGGTTGGGTTCCCAGCACCCACATGGCAAGTAACACCTTTAACTCCAGTTCCAGAGGGGTCTGATGCCCCCTTCTGACTTCCACAGGCATTGCATGCACGGTATGTAGCACCACCCCCGGCTTCATACATTTTTATATCACTTAAAATGTAATGAGCACAAGCCAGGCATAGTAGCATATACCTGCCTTTAATCCCAACACTTGGGAGACAGAGGCAGGCAGATCTCTGTGAGTTCAAGGCCAGCTTGGTCTACATAGCGAGTTCTAGGCCAAATGGGGATACAGGGAGACCCTGTCTCAAAAAAAAGTGATGAGCATCAATAAACAGAAAGCAACCAAAAAGTGTGAATTTTGTTTATAGTTCTGTTACCATTTCCTAACATACACAGACTAACACACATATAGGGCAAAACACTCATACACATAAAAACTTTAAAAAATAAAGCTGGAGACATGGATCAGTGGTTAAGAGCTGCTCTTCCAGAGGACCTGAGTTTGGTTCCCAGTACCCATGTCAGGTAGCTCACAACAACTCCAGCTCTAGGGGATCTGATAACCTCTTCTGCCTCTGTGGGAACCTGCACATACATGGCACACACATACACATCAATAATAACAGATCTTTTAAAAAATATGTAAGCTGAATTAATTCATCAATATTTTAAAGAATGACACTTTAAAATTTACCTTTTTTGGAAAGGTTGGGAAGGGTAACTAAAATGTCACTGTCTTGGGAAATAGAATAAAGCATACTTTCTTCCAAAGGAAGGGTATAGTTTGAATGTCTGAGGATTCTCTGGTTCTTCACTAAAATATCAATTTCAGTAACATCCTTTTGTAGAGCCTATGAAAGAAAAAATAAGCACCTTTTAAACATGACTTTTAATTTCTGTAGCTAAAAAACTGTTCCTATTCAGACAATTATTCCCTCCTCCCTCTCCTCCTTTGGGGCATTTATGGCTTTTATCCCACTGCTTTAGCCCTTGGCTATTATAAATTTAATCTCAGTTCCATTTCATTTACAGAGACCAAGGAACTGGTAAGAGAACTATAAACAAAATTCAGACTTTTTGGTTGCTTTCTGTTTATTTATGCTCACCACATTTTCAGTGATATAAAAATGTATGAAGCCAGGTATGATGGTACATGCCTTTAATCCCAGCATTTGTGAGGCAGAGGCAGGCTGATCTCTTAAGAACAAGATCAACCTGGTCTACATAGCAAGTTCCAGGCCAGGGCTATAGGAAGACCCTGTCTCAAAAAACAAATCAGAATAAATAACAACAAAAACCCCAGAAACTGTTGGGGACTGGAGAGATGGCTCAGTGGTTAAGAGCACTAGCTACTCTTACAAAAGACTGGGGTTTGAGTCTCAGCACCCACGTGGCAGCTAGCAACCATCTATAACTCCAGTTCCAGGGGATCTGCCACTGTCTTCTGACTTCCTCAGGCACTGCACAACATGAGTGCACTTACATACATGCAGGCAATATACTCATATACATAAAAACAATAAATAAAATATTTTTAGTGTATGAATATGAGAAATTTTAAAAAACTTCAAATGCAAAAAAAATAACAAAAATGCTCAATGATTAGATACAGGCAATACTAGCTTACTGTACCTTCTTCTTTACCAAGTCAAAGATAAAACAAGTTGACACAGGCATACGTAGCACAAACTTAGGTCTTCACAATTTAATTCCCAATAAGCATACTATCTTACCTGCTTTCCATCAATCTCTACTACCTCTTCTTGAATGACAATTAGCTGCAAACTGGAACCAGAAGTCATAGGCCACTCATGAACTAAAATCCTTATACTGACAATTCCAAAATACTCTTTTTCTTCCGAATTTTCCAGATTTTCACTCTTCACTGTGAAAAAAGAAGTGAGATTCTGAACAAAAACTGTCACCACATATATTACTATGTTTGATTATTTCTGACATGTACCTGGAACAAGACAGCTGAAAACAAGTTCTGTTGGCTTTCTCTGTCCCTGATCTTAACTGCTTTAGACTGATAGAAACAAAGATGACCTGGTAAATCCTTACGATGGCTCACGCTCATCGGAAAGGAAACTCTGCTGGTCCCCAGTCTGTACATGAGATGCTACACTGGTAGTGCCTCTTTTCCACTGGCTGGAAATGAGCAACAGCACAACTGCAAAGCGAGCCATGTAACAGTCAATCCCACGTTAGCAAAACAAGCACAATCATTCATCTATTCATTTAGCAACAAAAACCAGAATGACAGAGGGGTGCCAGCACAAGCTGGGGGTTTAGTTTTTACTTTTTTTTTTTTTTTTTTGAGTCTTTTCAATCTTCTCCCCCACTAAGTGACTTTTCATAGCTGGAGAGGGCAGAAATGGGCAAGAGGATGAAAGAGGTCCGTGCCCACTCCCTAGTAAAGGTGGCGAGGTAAGACTGGTGACTACCCAAGTTCCCCTCAACACAAGAAAGGGGGCAGAAATTGTAGGTATTTAGAGATCCAATGGCTATTCTATTAAGTTAGAATAGAATAGAGTGCTATAGTGCTATAGAAAATAAAGCACCACTCTGACCATACATGGAGCTGTGTATCTCCACTGACTGCTGCCCACTGCAAAAAGAAGCTTCTCTAACCAAGACTAAGAGCAACATAGGTCTAGGGGCATAAACAATATTTATTTATTTATTTATTTATTTATTTACTTACTTACTTACTTACTTACTTACTTATTTTTGGTCTTTTTGAGACACGGTCTCCCTGTAGCCCCAGCTGGCCTGGAACTCACTGTGTAGACCAGGCTGGCCTTGCCTTGCCTGCCTCTGCCCCCCAGTGCTGGAATTAAAGGCGCATGCCACCACACCCGGCTTGGAGGCATGTCACTGTCTAAGTGGTTTTATCAAAAATGCTTTGATGTGGTGCTGACGATGAAACTTAGTGCTGTGCATTTGGGAGGCAAGCACTGTCACTAAGCTACATCCCTAACGCCTATAAAAACTGTGTTTTGAGAGTGGGGCCACATCTTCTTTTCCCTCACTGTGTTTCCCAGACTGGTCTGAAACCCAAGGACTCAACTGATTTCCTCACCTCAGTCTCCCCAGTAGCTGGGACTATGGGACTACAGGCACTATCACAGTGTGAGTGCTTAACTGCCTGTTTACCTACTGATATCCCTCCCAACCTTGTCAGCATGCCTATGCCCACAGCCTAGGACACAAGCCTTGAAAAAGTGTAATCATATAAATATACCAGAGTGGTAACTCATCTGCCCCCAAATCTCACACCCCTACTGTAGAATAAATGGGGAAAAAAAAAAAAGCAGAGGGGCTCGAGAGATGGCTCAGTGGTACAGAAGACCCACGTTCGGTACCCAGCACCCATATCGGGCTCCTTGCAACCATTGGTAACTCCAGTCCAGGGGATTCAATGCTCTCTTCTGGCCTCTGCAGGCACAACATACATACATGCAGGCATTTACACATACACACACACACACACACACACACACTCAATCCATCAAATAAATAAATAAATAAATAACTTTAAAAGAAAAAAGTCCTTTATGCTGACTTCCTTGCAGTAGTAACCAGGTTTCAGAAAGAGGCCCACAAGATGCTGCCTCCAGCTTCATGCTTGGTAACTCCTTGCCTTAGTGCAGGCTACAGCCAGTCACTGTTTCTCACAAACAGCACAGCCTGAGTGACACATATTTATTTTATTCAAATAAAATGGTATATTCCCAAGTAAAATTGTCTCTTTAACTCAAAATTTTAAAAGGTTAAAAAGGAAAATCAAGCCAGGTGTGGTGGCACACACTTTTAGTTCCAGCACTTGGGAGGCAGAGGCAGGTGGATCTAGTGTGGTCTACATAACCAGTTCCAGGCAGCCAGGGCTACATAGTGAGACTCTGTCAAAGGAAAGGGAAGGAAAAAGGAAAGGAAAGAAAGGGAAGGGGAGGGGAGGGAAAGGAAAAGAAAGAAAAGCAAGAAAGGAAAAACAGAACAGAACAGAACACTGGGGAAATGTTTGGTTGACATAAGGGAAAAAAACAAAGCAGGACTTGGACAGCTCATGTATGTCTTCTCTGCGATTGTGGCCTATGCCCACTCACACACTGTTACCTACCAGAAGTATAATTCTGTCACTGTCAATCTCATGAAAGAAACAAGTGAATAGGCCATCAACAGCCAATATAAAGTTTTTAACATGTGTTATATATTATAGAAACAATATATATTATTACTTTAAACTAGAAGTATGTAACATCCAGTACAAATTAATATTATTAATTTGGGAGGCACTTGGGAGGCAGAGGCAGGTGGATCTCTGTGAGTTCCAGGCCAGCCTGGTCTACATAGTGAGTTCTAGGCCAGCTGGGGCTACAAGGAGACCCTGTCTCAAAAAAAAGACCAAAAATAAATAATAAATAAATAAATAGCAATTTGGGAAATGATTTAGTAGTACTCACCTATCAAAGTCCGACAGCTTATTCGGGTTACACCATTATTTACAGGTAAGTCATTTACATATACCTGTCCACTTTCATAGGTTATGTTAAGAACAACCTTAAAATAAAGCAGCAGAAACATTAATTCCAATGGTTTATAAATGGTGACAAACTCTTCATGTCAAAAATACATTATCTAACTGTGTGTTATGGTTTGGATGTGGTTTGTCCTCCAAGAAGTTTGGTCTCAGTGTGCTGGTGCTGAAGTGGAGACCTCTAAGATACAGAGTCCTAGTGGGCCATGTGTAATCCCTGGGACAGTGTCTACAGAGGAACTGTGGAAGCCTGGTCTCTGTGACCTCTTGTTCTCACATGAGATCCTGACACTATGTTCTATTTGCCATGAGACCAGAGACAGGCTACCAGCAATGTGTCTTTGAACCTGTAACTGAGCTAAAAACAGAAACAAAAATTGTATGGTTTTCTTTGGAGCTTTTATTTTGGTTTGGTTTGGGCTTTCACTACTTAAAAAGCCCAGGCAATCCTCCTGCCTCAACTCCAAAGTGCTGGGATTATAGGCATGAGCAACCTAGCTGCATCAGGAAGGTTGGTGACTAGATCAGTTACAATCTGCTATAGCTAGCTGGTTTTTCTTTTTATAAAGTAGCCTGCCTCAGGTATTTCATTATAGTAACAGAAAATGGGCTGATATAGTTGGTGAAAATACCTAGATAAATGTTATACTAAAAATGTAATTAAAGGAGACAAACCTGTTCTTCACACACTTCCCCATTGTCTTTCAGGGTAGTTACACTAATTCTGATGCCATCCTGCAACAAATGTATAGGTTAGACAGATACACATTCACAAATTGAAAACAACCTGGTTCTTTCTTTTTTAATTTTGTGTATTATAATTATTAGTGCAGGGGAAGGGGCACACATGCCATAGCACTTATGTAGAGATCAGAGACAACCTTCAGGAGTCTGTTCTCTCCTTCCACCATGGGTATCAAATTCAGATCATCAGGCTTTTGTTGCAGGTGCTTTACATGCTGAGCCATCTCACTGGCCCAAATAGCTTGGTTTTCTTTTTCTTTTCTTCTTTATTATTTTTATGGTAGTGCCACTTATGATAGCATAAAAATAGTATCTTTAATGGAGTAGGAGATGGCTCAGCAGTGGAGAGCACTGGATGCTCTTGGAGTAGACCCAGGTTTGGTTCCCAACAGCCATATGGTGGTTAATAACCACCTGTAACTCCAGTTCCAGGGGATCCCATGCCCTCTCTGACCTCCATGGGCACTGTACACAGGTACACATACATATATTCATGCAAAACACACATACACATAAAATAAAATTTTAAAATTGTATCGTTAAAAGATTGCTATTAGGCTGAGGATGTGGCTCGATGGAGTATTTGCTCTGCATTCACAAGGCTCAAGGTTCAATCCCCAGGACTGCAAACTTTTAAGTCATTAGTCTCATTTTCTAGTCTTTTTATGTCTTTATTCACATGTTCAATAATCTATAAACCATTTATGAATTATAACATATATAAACACATGCAAATGTAGAGTTTAAAAGATTAACTCTCATACACCTACCACATAGGTTAAAATCTAGACTATGGGGTTGGAGAGATGGCTCAGCAGTTAAGAGCACTGGCTGCTCTTGCAGAACACAAAGGTTCAATATCCAGCATCTACATGGTAGCTAAAAACAATCCATAACTACTTCCAGGTGATCCAACGCCCTCTTCTGATCTCTGCTGGCACTTCATGACATGGGTGCACTTACATACATGCAAGGGTAACACACATACACATAAAATAAAAATTAAAAAATCTAGACTATTACTCATGCCTTAGAAGTCCCTACACAAAGTTGTAAAAGCCCATTTGGAGGGGGGTGATTAGTAGAAAGGGAGGAAATGATTAACAGAAATCAGTACAGCGATTTCTTGGTGGGGAGAACAAAGGAATCTTTGTACTGATTTCTATTAATCATTTCCTACTTTACAGTTTTACTAGTTTTGTGTTTCTCTGTAAACAATGCATTGTTTAGCAATATAGAAGTAGAACATTTTAGCCAGGCATGGTGGTGCCTGCCTTTAATCCCAGCACTCAGGAGGCAGAGGCAGGGGGGTCTCTGTGGGTTCAAGGCCAGCCTGGTCTACATAGTGAGTTCCAGGTCAGCTGGGGCTACAGGGAGACCCTGTCTCAAAAAAAGTAGAACATTTTATCCTGGAACTTGTTTCTTCATTTAAAATTACTGGTGTGTGTGTGTGTGTGTGTGTGAACAGTCATTTATTCTCAAGCATGTGACCCTTCCTCGGTATAACCACCAGTTTATTTACTTATTTCACTACCCATGGGCACCCAAATGGTTTCCAGCTTATTTTGCTTTTATAATTGAAGCTGCTCTAATCCTTCCTAAGCATACCTCTTAGACAAGTATCTGCAGTATAGTTTTACTGTTGGCAAAGGTCTGATCAAAAGCAGTCTACCCAAGTATTTCAATTTACTGTTGGCACTGTGCTTTCTATAGAAAAGTACTACTTCAGTGATTTCTGAACTTTGCTACAAAGTCCTTTTTTGTTAAAGCATATTAGGAAGAGTCTGTGTAATTACTTTATAAAATGAAGCAATGATATTTTTTTGTCTTTTTTTGAGACAGGGTCTCCTTGTAGCCCCAGCTGTCCTGGAACTCAATATGTAGACCAGGCTGGCCTCGAACTCACAAAGATCTGCCTCCCAAGTGCTGGGATTAAAGGCGTGTGCCACCACGCCTGGCTAGCAATGGCATTTTTTAATCCTCCAAATATGTAATGTAAAATGTTTTCCTACAAAATGAGTTTATAATGTTGCCTAAACTATCATGTATGTAAACAGAAGTTTTAAAAGTGGGAGGGAATCCTGATTCAGAGTGTGTATAAACTAAATGTTTGCTTTTTTAGTTATTTCAAAGATGTGCTTATTTTAAAATTTTGTTTTGCCCACAGTAAATGTACAATGTAACACCTGTATGGTTTCACTGACTGAATTTCAAATTTATAAATGTTTCCCTCCTTTTAAAAGCACACTGGTCCACTACAAGGTGCATGCACAGAAAAATACCTCCGCGTCTGCCATGCTCATGTGTGTTGTATCACGCTGAGTTTCAAGTCAGCCATTTGTTTTGAGAGGAAGGGGAAGTTTTATTTTAGTTTCTGTAAATTCAGGTACAGTTAAGAATGGCCCTCTTTGGGGCATTGAGCACAAGTAGAAAAGACCTGGAAAAGTGATGTTAAACACAAAAGGTAGCCGGGCCCACGTGGTGGCACATGCCTTTAATCCCTTAAGCACTTGGGAGGCAGAGGTAGGCAGGTCTTTGTGAGTTCAAGGCCAGCCTGGTCTACATAGTGAGTTCCAGGACAGCTGGGGCTACAAGGAGACCCTGTCTCAAAAAGACACACACACACACACACACACACACACACACACACACACAAAGGTGTTGGTGTTAGTTATAAAAGTGAGTTTTAACAGGAGAAAAAAAAGTTGTTTTAATTTGCATGTTGTATTCCTCAAGGAGATAACCTGGTGTTCAGCCCACCCCATACTTATTTCATTGTCTGCAGGGGGCATGTGGTACACACCTTTAATCCCAGCACTTGCCTTTAATCCCAGGCAGAGGCAGGTGGATCTCTGTGAGATCAAGGCCAGCCTAGTCTACATAGGGAGTTCCAGATCAGCTGGGGCTACAGAGAAACCCTATCTCAAGCCCTTCATCTCACCCCATCCCCACAAAAAAGAAGTCTCCACATCACTGGTCACATTTCCCCTTCATTTGTGGGAAGCAGTGGACAGTGCTTCCTCTGCAGTGACTTAACTTCTTTGGCACAATTCCCACTGGCTTATTGAATTTCTCACTGGACTGTATGTGTTGTCAAGTGTGAAACAATAATGTGTAGATTATGAAAAATGGAAGGCTGCAGATCATTTTGCATGAATAATGTCCACTAGGGCTAATGAAACTGACATGTTTTTACCGTTTTGAAATGAAAATTACAATGGCGAACTGGCTCACCATTTACTAGCTTTGTGCAATACTATAAAGGCAGAAGCAAAAATACTAGCTCACCATGCTTGGCTTAGAGATGGCTCTCCTACCATCACGTCAAACTGACACTGTGTGCAGTGTACTATAAACACCATCTCTTGCAAATTTATAGTACTCGAATACGCTCAACACTCTAAAGTACGAAAATACACGGAAATACTAAGCGAGCATTTATAGCAATACTATGAATTCTCCAATAATTGTTTAGACTATTGCCTTTTGCTCTTTAGTGTGACTTTTCTGCATTGTACTTACTATATTGCTTTGTATTTCATGTTTTTATACTCATGACTTCAGAGTTAAGTACTTGTACACCAAGTATTACAATCACTTTTACTGTATATGAAATGTAACACCAGTTTTGGTGCTTAATAATATTCCTTTTAAAAAAATAATAAAGGATGTTTATTTTAAAAAAGAAGAAAAGCAAAGCACTACTCCAAGAAGTATTCACCGCTGACCACAGTAGCCCGTAAGTTGTTAATCAAATACTTTTCTATGGAGCTGGGGATGCAGCCAATTGGTTTAGCATGCAGAAAACTGGAGTCTGATCCCCAGGGCTACAGAAATGGAGAGGAGGTGCTGCATAAACCAGGGAGGGGTGGGTAAGTGGTAAGTACCTGTAATCCTAGCATTTCAGAGGTGGAGGAAGTTCAAAGTTATCCTGGGCTATATAGTGAGTTCAAAGTAGGCCTGGAATAGACGAGGCCCAGTCTCAGAAAATAAAAAGGGTTTCTACATTTTTCACAGGTAGACATTATTATCCTAGAACATTGTTCTCAAATATTTTATTCTTAGCTTCAAATGCAGGAAATTTGAACTGGGCATTGTGGCGCAAAGAGGATCAGGGTTCTCTCCTCTCCTTCCATCAAGTAGGTCTCAGGGCGTGACTGTAAGGGCATTTCCAGTGTTCTCAATGATAAACGCCGCACCATGTCTTGGGCTACTCTTAGAATGAATATAAAGATAAAAAGGAGAGAGCCAGCTAAGCACCAGTCTTCGACCTCTGCCAGGTGACCAGGCGTGCCCACTCCTGTTGCCCTGCCTTCCCCACCATGACACTCAGCATTCCTCTGAACTGTGAGTCAAAATCAACACTTTCACCCTTAACTTGCTATTTGTCAGGTATTTAGTGATGGCGACAAGAAACGTAATACAGGGTCTCACTAAGTTGCCCAAGCTGAACTTTCTGTAGCCTATCCTCCTGCCTTAGCCTCCCAAGTAGTTGGAATTTCAGGTCTACCCCACCAGACTCAGCTCTCTTGCATACTTTATATTTATATACAATCATGTGCTGTGTGACAGTTTGACCATCAACAAACTGCATATATGATGGTAGCCCAATATCATATTGTTAACTTCAGTATGCTTAAGTATATTCTGTGGTGGTTATACAACAATAGAATCATCCAATGACACATTTCTCATCCTTAAGCTGGGAGTGGTAGTGCACACCTTTAGTCCCAACACTTGGGAAACAAGCAGATGGATCTCTGTGAGCTCAAGGCCAGCCTAGTCTATAGTAAGTTCCAGGTCAACCAGGGAGAGACCCTTTCTAAAACAACAACAACAAAAAATCAGCAAACAAAACCCACATCCTCAGATAGCCTATTATTTCTTTTTTTTAATATTTTATTTATTTTTTTAAAATATTTTATTTATTATTTTTATTTCATGTGTATGCGTGTATTGCCTGCATGTAGCTAAGTGCACCCATGTTGTGCAATGCCTGTGGAGGTCAGAAGAGGCTGTCTGATCCCCTGGGACTGGAGTTATGGACAGCTGTTAGCTGCCATGTGGGTGCTGGTATTCGAACCCGGGTCTTCTGTAAGAACAGCCAGTGTTCTTAACCGCTGAGCCATCTCTCCACCCCCCTATTTTTTTGTTTGATGTGTATGAATCTATTGCCTGCATGTATGTGAGTGCAACCATGTCGTGCAATGCCGCGGAAGTCAGAAGAGGGCTTCCCCTCTGAACTGTAATTAAGGATGGTTTGTAGCCTCCATGTAGGTGTTGGGAATCGAACCTGGGTTCTCTGCAAGAGCAGCCAGTACTCTTAACTGCTGAGCCATCTTTCCAGCCCATGATTATGATTTCTAACAAACAAGAGGTAAGACTGACATTTCGCAAGGTGGGCTGACTCTGAGGATAATTTGTAGAACAGGATTCATCCCAAGGCCTGTATCATACATTTAACCTGACTTGTGCACTTCCCAACTCTCCTAGCAGCCCAGACAGCTTTCCAACTAGCGATTAATCAAAACCAGCCAAGTTTTCTTATGTTCCACCTTGACATAGATTGAATATGGGTTATAACCAATAAAAACAGTGAAAGAAATTGTTCAATAAGCCATCAAGTTGGAAGCTACGTTGTGTTTGAAATGTATTTAAAAGCTCTTCTTACCAAACCAATGGTAGTCTGTTAACTACAGACTATCATTCTCCTACCAGTCCCCCAGAAGAGACTCTCCAAGGATGGTCTAAGAATCTGCCTTTCAACAGTGAATATACACTATACTGTTAGTAATTTATTACATTTACATATATCACTTGCTTAGTAAAATAAGGGTTTATGGAAAACAAGAGACAAGCATACTATACTATACTGTTTTTGTTTTGTTTTTTTTCAAAGAACCAAGTCCGATTCTTTTTCTGGAGGTGTACCTCAATGACAGAGTGTGCTTAAGCACATACAAGGCCTTGGGCTCAATCCCCAGCACAACACACACACACACACACACACACACACACACACACAAAACAACCTCTTTTGATACTCCTGAATTATTTAACTGCAAAAGGAAATTCCATTCCTTACTGTCTTGACTTTAAAATCAGCCAGGTCACTTTTTTTTTGCTCTGTGAACCTCTGAATGATCTAGATGTTCAGGGTTGTGAGCCAGAGTTGTATATGCTTGGAAAGTAGGTGGTGTAATGGAAGTTCCTCCATACCTACTTCCAGTTGTTTTCATTTCTTCACTCATAGAGTGCCTACCTAGGATACAATTGGCTTCCTAAGGAAAAAGGGAATTGATACTTAGTTTAAAATAAGTGTGAGGGAATATATGAAAGATATACATACAAAAGCTATGTTAGAATATTTATTTTGTGATCAACCTAAACCAGAACAATATACTACAAAAAAACATGTTAGGGCTGAGGGTGTAGCTCAGAGGTAGTGTGCTCACACCGAATGTGAGAGGTCCTGGGTTCAATCCCTAGCACTGAAACTAAGAAAGAAAGAAGTTTTATTTTGCCTTCTGAAAACTGCATATATAAAACAACAAAAATGCTTACAATGCAGTAAGTCTGAGTCAGTGGGAAAAGATGGACATTGTCTTGACTTCAACCTGAATACAAAGGTGGAGAGATGAAAATATAGGTGATAAAGCAAGTATAAAAGTGTTAAGGCTGGTCTAGGAACACAAGCCATTCTATAAGGTACCCACTAATCACATGCATATAAAAACTAAAACTATTAAAAATGCAAAAATTTAATTGCTCACTTAAGCTGGCCACAATAATCTACAGATGTCCAAGCCATGAGCTCGAGGGCTGCATGCATCGCATGAAGCTACAATGTGGCCTAACACATCCGAAGATCACATCTTGTCGCAGTGTCAAAACACTGGGCATCCCTGATTCTAATGGCTAATATAGTGACAACAGACAAATTAACAACCACTGCATAAAGTCTCATGAAGAGCACTTAATAGGGGTCAATGATTTTCTGTAATTTGAAAATTTTGAAATGGAAAAAAAAAAAACCCTACTTGGATCAGTCAGCTTTAGATTCCCAGATATATATCCCAAGTATTGGGGTTCTCAGTGTTTGTTTAAGGGCCTATGAAAATTTGAGTTTAGAGCTCAACTTGCAAAAGTGGAATGAAGACCTAAAAGGGGAGAACAGAAATGAAGAACTTGCTGAGGGTTCTCTGTACTTTATTAGCCTTGCTAATAAAATGTTTTCTTCTGACTCTGCGGCCAGGCTCAAATGCCTCTTAGTTTCATATGTGATGATGATGGATCCTCAAAATTGTAAGAGGAAAATAATGTCCGTATCTCCACAACTTTAAAATGACCCAGTGTTTATTTGGTTTCTTGACACTTGCCTGTATCCTTCTTATTTATACCTGGATCCAACTATAGTCCAAATACAATTTCATATACAAATGCTCTTAGGGCTGCAATGCTGTGGCCATCTTAAATTCAGACATGCTTATCATTTCTGTATCCAGGGAGAGTAATACAACTCTAAGGCATTAAAAGTAAAAAGAAGGACCAGAGATGGCTCATTAGTTAAAGAGGGGAGCTTGCTTCAAAGCCTGACCACCGGAGTTCGATCCCCAGGCCCCAGGAAAGGGTGCAAGAGCACTGGGTCCACGAAGCCGTCATCTGACTCCAACATGCGTGCTGTGACATCCTCCCCCATCATACACACGTAATAATAACAATTTTTAAAGTGGCATTTATCATGTCAGTCCTTTCTGTTTTAGTTTCTACTGACTAGTAAGAAAAGGTGAACCTCCCTTGTTTTTTGTCGTTTTGGGAAAAGTCGCATTTTACAGTCTCCAAACTTTTCCCTATCATACAACTGAACAAAGGCAAATGTCAAGGAGTAAGAAGTAAACGCGGGCTAGCTGCCTTTAAATACTATGATGCTATGGTTCTTAGGCTTGAGCCAGGTCAGTCACGTGCAAGGGTTGGGTAAACACTGCGGGTCCCGCCCCTGGGGCCAAATGCAATTCCCCTGTGCTGCAGATGCTTATTTCCGACAGATCACACCGGAAAGATCACTCATCTAATATCCAATTAAAAAGCCAAGCGGGTAAGTGCCGGTCTTCAGTCTCTTCCCTCCTCCAGCCCGAGGGGCCCATGCTAGAAAGGGCCTATTCAGACACAGGTGGCCCGGAAAGCTAGGCAACTTCCACGCAGCCGGAGCACAAACACACCGCCAGGCTCCAGGACTGGGCTCTAACCCAGGAAGGGTCATTACAAACGCCCGAGGTCACTGGCGATCGCGCACTTCTAACGGCAAAGCCAGGCTGGACGAGCGGCAGTTCGAACACGCTACGAATCTCAAGTTCGGAGGAGCTCCAGCTGAGCCCTCCTCCCTTCTCCCGCCGCGACTGCCAGCCCGCCCGAGTTCCCAGAGGCTTTCCTTTCCCTCCCCAGCGGCCTGGACCCCGAGCCCGACCCGGACCCCGCCCGCCGGAGGAGGAGCCTGTCTCGGACCCGGCCTCCCGGAGGGTCCCAGAGGAGCCGCTGGCTGCGGCCCTGCCCTACCTGCGGGGCTGCCAACGGCGGCCTGGAGGCGCTGGTCGTCAGCCACCCCATAGCCGGCAGCGCCACGAACAGCAGCAGCCGCCGGAGGGCGAGCGGCGCCGATACGGCACCCTCCTCCATCTTGGACCACACCAGGGCTGGTAGCCGGGAGGTGAGGGCGGATCCCGACGGGGCGGAGGAGGTGCGAGAGGCGGGGCCAGACCCGGGGAGGGGCTAAGGAGCGGAGGCAGGCGGGCAGAAACGGGCTGGGGGTGGAGCAGACTCTTAGGACGTTTTCGTGCATCGACGGGTGGGATCAAGTTTGGGACTATTCCTGGGGCTCTGCACTGGAAAGGGATTCCCAAGAAAACAAGTCATTCTTTTCGTTGCCATTACTTTTTTTCTCTTTTTCTTTTCTCTCATGTAACCCAAGCTAGCCTTGAACTTCTGGTCCTCCTGCCTCCACTTCCCTATCCCCCAGCATTACTTTTTCATTAGTATACTCCATGTTCATGTATTTACAAAACGAAAACAAAGGTAATAGTTCAAAACACTGTTATGCATTAAAACGAAAACATTTACTATTTAGAGAGGGCATTTGACTTTTGAGAGAGTCTGGCTATGCAGCCCTGACTGGCCTGGCACTCTGTGTACACCAAGAATCCAATCTTTGACAATCTTTCTGCCTCTGCTGGGATGACAGGCATGGTCCACCACACCTGCAGGTAGGAATCTCTGAAGATGTTTTATGAAGTATTGGGGGGGAATCTCCTTGAGTTCTGAGTACCTGATTTAATTAGTCTGCACACCCACAGTGTGGCACAAGTGCCCACATGAACACACACAAAATAAATGTAATAAAATAAAAGTAAAGTAAAAATTAGGGGCTGGAGAGATGGCTCAGTGGTTAAGAGCACTGACTGCTCTTGCAGAAGACCTGGGTCAGTTCCCAGCACCCACATGGTGGCTAACAACCATCCATAACTCCAGTTCCAGGGGCTCCAACACCCTTTTCTGACCTCCATGGGCAGTGCATGACACAGGTGCACTTACACACATGCAGGCAATACACTCATACACATAAAATTAGAAAAACAAAAACAAAAAACTAGTTGTGGTGGCACATGCCTTTAGTCTCAGCACTAGGGAGGCAGATGAATCCCTAGGAGTTCAAGACAAACATACTCTACATGGTTCCGGGCCAGCCAGGGCTGCATAGTATGACCCTGTCTTAAAGTTTAAAAAAAAAAGAATAAAGGAACAACAAAAAAGTTAACAGAAATGGGTCTATCAATTATCTGGACAGGAGAAACACCCCTCAGGAAAGCTGTCTCTCTGTCCATTGTCCGCTCAACCCTTGAGAGTTTTCCTGTGATGGTCCCTTAAGCTATTGCTGTCACCCTTGAGAGTGCCTCACTTGACCTTGTAACAATCTCCACCTATCTCTACATTGTACTTGTGTGTCTCCTTTGAATTCATTTGACAGAGATAATAAGGATGAGGGGTCAAGAAGAGACCAGATTGAGAGCCCCACAACAAAACTAAAAAGGAGTGACCCAAAGTTCATGTCTTCCACTAACTTCTTGCCTACACTGAGATACTGTAATCAGTATTAATTTCCAGGTGGTTTCTACAATGAAGTCCCACCTACGACTGTGTTTTATTGACTGTGTTTTTACTCTGTGTTAAACTTCTGGAATTAAAAATCTGGGACAGGTGTGGTGGCCCACTCCTTTAGTTCCAGTACTCAGAGGTGGATCTCAAAGAGATTGAGGCCAGCCTGGTCTATGTAGTGATTTCCATGCCAGGTGCAATTATAGGAAGACCCTCTCTCAAAACAAGAAGATAATAATAATTTGGAGGGACTGGAGATGTAGCTCAGCCATTAACCACATTGGCTGCTCTTATAGAGGACCCAGGTTCCGTTCCCAGCATCCACACGGTAGCTAACAACTTTCAGCCTCTTCTGCCTTCTGTATGTATATGGTGCATTCACATACATGTAAGCAAAACACACATAAAGTAAAAATAAATTTAAAAAAATTTAAAGTGAATCTGAAGTTCAGAAAGCAAGATGTTGTGGCTGGCCTCAATACTTCACCAGAGAAGGCCACTCAGATAGTCAACTTGCTCCCCCTTGTAGATAACAGATTGATAGAAACAGAACAAAGGAGACCAGCAAAAATACAGACAACAACAAAGCACTCACATGATGGCCATCACACAAACCATTCATTCACCAGGAAATTACAGAGGGCAGCCAGCAATGACCTGCTTGGCTCCCTGGATGGAGTCAAGCGGCTGCGTCCAGCCTCCCCTCTAAATGTCCTTCCAAGGGTGCCCCAGATTCTAGCTCACCTCTGGAGGCTTCCAGAACAGACTTTCTTCAAAAATCTTTTAGGGTGGCTGTGGTGATTTGAATGAAAATGTCCCCCATAGGCTCCAAGTATTTGGACATTTTGTCCCCAGATGATGGAGCTATTTTGGGAGGTTTTAGAAGGTGTGGCTATCCTGGAGGAAGCAGGTCACTGGGGTTGGGCTTAGAGAGTTCTTAAGCCTTGCCAGATCTCCAGTCGCTCTCTTGCTTCCTGTGCCTGCGTGATGATGTGAGAGCTTAGCTTCTGCTGTTCCTGCTCCAGACACCTCCAGACACCATGCCTCCCTGCCATGATGGACTGTAATTCCCCCTGGAACTGTAAGCTCAAATAAACTCTTCCTTCTATAAATTGCTTGGGTCAGTGTTTCTATCACAGCAACAGAAGAGTGACTAATACAGTGGGGACATCAAAAAACCCAGTGGAACAGCAGGGTAGCAGGGAGGCAGAAATCCTGAGGCCTTGGAACGTCTCAAGGGATACCCCCTCTAGGGATCTGCCCAGGCCCACACTACTTCCCTGCTCCAATCCCCCAGGTCTGAGGTCTAATTCTCTGGGATCTCGGTGGGACCTCCAAATATTGTGGGGTGCTTCACCAGAGAAGACCACTCAGACAAAGTTTTGTTGAATGAAAGTCGTTACTGGCCAGGGCTACCACACAAGGGCGTGGGAATCCAAGTGTGTAGCCCCAAGCCATCTCTAGAGAAAGCTTTTATACAGAAAAACCATAACTAGGGATGCAAAGTTTTAGTTCACAAGCTTACAGGTAGAGCACTACCTTAACAATTTCTATTCTATTAAGTAACAATTACGATTTTGAAGAAGCAAGCCAAGCATAACCTACAGAAGCCATGAATCTGCAGTTAGCAGGTATACTCTGGGACACTCTGACCTGTTCCCAAGACAACTGGGTCCAGCTGACATGTGTTCTCATACTCTGGGCCAACTGCCTGATAATTTCAGAGACTAGAGTCAGTCTAAACTTTAACATGGTGCCCTATTACAAAGACATATGTGGATCTATAAAATTTAAATTAGTAGTATGTGCATAAGGTCCCTGAGTACATGTGTATGAAAAGGTAGGGGCAAATGTGGCCATCTGTGTTCTGCAACAGAGCTTTTGCCATGGAGCTAGCTCAAGCAGAGTCTCAGTGGCATCTATTCTTTAGACAAATAATGGCCAAGTAGTTAAAGGTGTCATTTGATACTGAACAGTTTTACTATTTTGTATGACATGATTGGTTCTCTTTAGGGCCCTTTTTATTATATGCATACATTAGCTCCATAATTTTATGTTAAAGTGTAGCCTAATTTGAAAAAGAAATAAAGAAAACTATACCACAACTATGATGAGTTATGAAACAATGGAGTTCTATTCAGTAAAGAAGGATGAAATAATGAAATTTGCAGGTAAATGCATCTAGAAACTGTTATACTAAGTGAAGTAACAGACTCAGAAAAACAAACAACATCTGTTCTCCCTCATATGTGGCTCTTAGCACCAAATTTAAAATTCCAGGTCCTTTTAATAAGATGATGCTGCCGGGCATGGTGGTGCACGCCTTTAATCCCAGCACTTGGGAGGCAGAGGCAGGCAGATCTTTGTGAGTTCGAGGCCAGCCTGGTCTACATAGTGAGTTCTAGGCCAGCTGGGGCTACCAGGAGACCCTGTCTCAAAAAGACAAAAAATATATATATATATACATCAGTCCCTTCTGCATGAAATAAGTACCAGCATCACGACTTCTGCTGACCCTGATTGCTAAACATTGTCACAATTGTGTTTGTTAACGGTTGTGCTCATTCATTAAAGGAGGGCCAAGCGGGGTCATTGGACCCTCACCTGAGTATCCAGCCACTCTTCCAAGCCAACTAGTCCAGCCTTGGAAGACAAAAGAAAAATGAGGAAAAACCCAATAGAGGGATGCTTTTGGAAGCTCTTGTCAAGGAAATCCAATGGACTCATATATGAACTTTTGAAAATTGCCCTGTGTCCCCGACCGCTTTCCGTCTCGCCGGCAAGAACGACGCGGGAGGACAAGTCAGGATCCTTCTGCAGCAGTTTATTGTATGCGCATCTTACACTCTTAGAAGCTTAAAGACCAAAGACGCCGAGAAGCGGGAGAGCGGTTGCTTATATAGTCTAAAGGTCCCATCTATGACGTATAAGAAGCGGATTGGTTGCTGGAGATCACCCCACGGGAGGAGGCGAGGGAGAGCAGGCTCTTGTGCACGCCCCTTATGGG